TTCAGTATTACCTAAAGACAGTGAAAGGATTTTGAATAAAGAAGTCACTTGATCAAAACTAACCCTAAGGAAAATGAATATAATGGCAATGTATGTGATAAATTGAAGAGGGAAGAGACTTGAGGCAGGGAAACTAATTAAGAAGCTATTGGTGTAATCCACAAAGGCAGTCATAAGGGCTAGATGAGAGTACTACAGTAGCCTTGGAGAGAGAAGTAAATGGAAGAGAGCTATGTGAAAGACTAGCAATTGAAGAGGAACATGGAAAGGAAAGACTCATAAGGGCTACACAGTTTTGAATATGAATAACCAAAAGGGTGGATGTAATTAACAGATATAGCAAATAGAAAAGGTAAAATGACAGGTTTGACATGATCAAAATGGAGCTGTAAAATCATAGCTGACTTCTTAGCACAAATTGACAGGCTGGTCCTAAAATTTATATGAAAATTCAATCCAGAATAGCCAAAACAGTATAGAAAAGGAAGAACAAAGTTGGAATATTCACACTTGCTAACTTCAACTTACTGTAAAGCTACAGTGATCAAGACAGTATGGTGCTGGCATAAGGACAGACATATAGATCAATGGCACAGGGGTTTGTGACCAGAAATAAATCCCCACATTCAGAGTTAACTGATTATACAGAAGGGCCAACATCATTCAGTGGGACAAAGGACAGTATTTTCAACAAATGGTGCTGGGACAACTGATACCAACATGCAAAAGAACAAAGTTAGACTCATATCATACCATATACAAAGTTAACTTACATAAAAGATCTAAATACAGTATATGAGCTAAAAACTGTAAAATTCTTAAAATGAAACACAGATGTAAATCTCTATGACCTTGAATTAGGTAATGGTCTCTTAAATATGACACAAAAAACACAAGCAACAAAAGAAAAAATAGATAAAATGGACTTTGTCGAAATTAAAACCTTTCGTGCTTCAAAGGACATTATCAACAAAGTACAAAAATAACCCACAGAATGGGAATAAATACTTGCAAATCATTGATCTAATTAGGGGCTTGTATCTAGACTATATTAAGAATTCTTGCAACTTAATATTAAAAGGATAACCCATGTTACAAGTGGACGAAGAGCCGAAATCAACATTGTTGTAAAGAAGATATACAAATGACCACTGAGTATGTGGTCTGTAAGACAGTATTTTGAAGAGAGCAGTAAGATCAGAAAGTGGTTTGTGCAAAGTATATCCAGGTGGCCAGGATAACTTTGGAAGTGATGAGAAGGGGAATGGAAGATGGGCAGTTTTTAACCTCAAGGAAGTGAATTTCCAGGAAAGTAGAGACAGATGTAAGGAAAGAGTTCATAGGGGATTCATAGCCCTTAAGGAAATGGGAAAGAGGATCTAGGGCCTAGGTAGAGAAATTAGCCTTGTGGAGGAAAAGGAATATGAGGGAGGACATTTTCAGGTAGAGAGAAGGGTAGAGGAAGACACTCATTACACATAGCTTTAACCATTTCAGTCAAGCATGAAGCAGAAAACCTTTGATCTAGAAAGATATACCTTGGAGCCGGGGATTTAGCTCAGTGGTTTCGCCACCTGCTATGCAAGCGCAAGGACACGAGTTCGATCCCCCGTACCAAAAAAAAAAAAAAAGATATACCTCAAACTATTAATAAGCAATTACCTCTGTAGAGGGAATAGAGATGGGGAAAGAGGGATTTTTCACTTTTATTTGATAGGCTTTTGTGTTTAATTTTTATATCAAGAATGTCCTTTCATTATATGATATTTTTTAAAAACTAAGTTGCTGTAAGAAATGTAATTCTTTGTCAATTGGAGGTAAAGGATTGCTGAGCTGCAGGGAGGTGGTGGCCCATGTAAATCAATGAATGGTTATGGAATTTATTGATTTGGAATAGTAAGCATAAATTGTAGTAAAAGCAATTCATTTGATTTCTTAGCTTTCTCCAACAGAATAGAGCAGAAAATCCTGACAGTGTGATTTATACAAGGGCCTAGGAGTGATAAGACAAAAATTAAAAAGGTGTGAGAGAAATAAGGATGCTAAGAAAGTTTTCTAAATATCTAACCCTGATGGACTCACCAAATATATTACCAGGTTTTAGGTGGCTGGAGTCTCCTTTTAGAGGTGTTTTATAGGTTCTTTCTTTTCTGATCAAAGAATTGGTCAAGGAAAGCACAAAAGCAGCAAGATTTTACATTTTATTAAAGGTAGGGAAAGAAATGTGCTCTGCAAATCAAGTTTGAGCCAAGTAAAAGTAGGAAAAGAAATACATTCTGCAACTCCCCTGTTCATGGACATCGCCATCTCCTGTGAGGAGCCCAGGTGACACTGGACATCATGAGTTTTCTTCTTCAACCCAGCTGTGAGGGACAACACCCCAAGGTAATTGGAGAGCAGTAATCCCCAGAAGGTTAGTGCCTACAGCCCCTTTCAGCAGAAAGTAGCTATATGAAGACAGAGACCTCCACTCCTTCACCACCTCATAAAGAATTATGGGGATATATTTCTATCAAGGGGAAATGAGGGAAGAGATTAGGGCATGGCCGACTGTATGAGAAAGTGGGTGTGACCTGTTAATTGCAAAGTTCCAGGACACAGGTGCAAAACAGTTCCCAAGCCCTGCTCTTGGACTTCAAGAACTCTAGCAAGTTTTTGATAGGACAGCCTAGACCTGATGTCAGCCTATAGGGTGGGAGTTAAGGTCTCCATTGAGCTCTCTGCTACTGTGTTCTTTCCTAGTAGTCTGCTCTCACACTGTAGAGTGTATTTCTTTTTCCTACTTTTACTTGACCCTGGATGTACTAGGGTTTTTTAACCCATTTACCTGGGTTTTTCTAGTTTGGGGCTATTACAAGTAAAGCTGTAAATTCCGGCATGAAAATGTCTTAGTTTCTCTGGGGTAAACTGCCCAAGAGTGCAATTGCTTGCTCGGATGTCAAGTCTATTTTTAGTTTTGACAAGAACTGCTAAACTATTTTCCAGAGTGGCTATACCATTTTACTTTCCTACCAACAAGATATGTGTAATCTAGTTTCTCTACATCCTCAATGGGAATTGTTATCACTATTTTTTACTTTAGTTGTCTTGAGAGTTGGCTCATTGTAATCCTTCTCCTCTTTTAGGACCTGAGTCAAGAGTTACCTCTGTAGAGCCTTGTCTGACATCTTCTGGAAAAGTTAATTACTCTCTCCTCTGTGCCAACTCTGATAGGTCATTTGTCATTGCATTTTAATTATTTATTGCCATAGTCTGTGTCTTCGACTCTATTCTGAGCTGCATGAAGATAGGGACTATGTCATATTTTTCTGGATTCTTGCAGCATCTGGTTCAGTTTCTTGCTGGGCACACAGTAGACACTAACCAAATATGTGCCAAATGAAGGAAAAAATGAATGAAAAGAACTTCAGTCTTGCTTGCCTGCCTTCCTCCTCCACTAGAAACATTTTTAGGTCAGACATCACATCTTCCTCTGTGTCTCCCCTCAGTGGCTAATAGGGTACTCTGTAGGTGTAGATGCTCAATAAATGTCACGGAAACTGCAGGTGGCTTATCTTCCCTCTTCATTCAGGAGATAAGCACATAAAAGAGAAAATAGGCACGAGTATCCTTGTATTAAATATCATATGTCATAATTTTATAATATTCTTATAATATCCACAGTTGCACAATATTTGTGTAGATGAGAAATCTAAACAAAACAGTTCTTTTAATCAAAGAATGCCTCTGTGACGGGCACTGTTCAATAGTTTCAATACATTGGCTACCTAAGACTGGGGAGGACGGCATTTCATATTCCTGAATTCCTTTTGCCAATTCAGAAGGATCTGGATTTTTTCTGATTTTCCTGCACTGATGTAATTTGACATGTTGATTATGAAAGGGTCATTAACCTCAACATTTTTTTTATCACTCTTTGACTATGTATTTTCTCAACTCTGAAGTCTGTTAATTTGTAGTTGTTTATGTCTCTCTAAGAGTGGTTCAGGCCCTTGAGGACTGGTGTATGTTTTGTCTGGAAAGTAGATTGTAAGCCCCTTGAGAGCAAGGACCTTATAATTCCTAGGAATGCATTCTGGGCATTGTCAGTGTTCAATTAATAATAATATTGGAAGCCTGACTGAAGTCACTTGTCATATTGACATCTTCCTTGTCATCTGTAAGGCTTCTCACTATTTAAAAAAGTACTTAGTTTGACTTGATAACATTGAATGATTGTACCCAAAATTATAGTCAGTATTATTACCCACTGCAACTTGTTCTTTTAGGGTGCTTTCAGATTTATGATTTTAGGTCAGTTGTTACAGTTCCCTTTCTTATATCCTGGTTACATATACATTGGAAAGGACTGCATTTTATAACTCTCAAGTCCTTTTACATAATAAAAAGTAAGCCTATATCATCTAGGCTTTCAAAGCTTTGTACTTCTCACTCCTAACCCCCACTGATAATTAGGTGATAAACTCCAAGTGTGATTGCCATCTTAAATTATCAGAAAGGGACCAGGGATTTAGCTCAGCGGTTCCGCCGCCTGCCTTGCAAGCACAAGGTCCCAAGTTCAATCCCTGGTACCAAAAAAACAAAACCAAAACAAAAATTATCAGAAAGAATCCTTATAACTACTCAATATATATGTTTTATTTCCCAATATTTTAAAATGGAATAAATAGATTCTGTGTCCTGTGGCTGTTAACATTAAATTAATATGACTGTTTCAAGGAAATTTTAGTTCTCAAACAGAGAGGCATATTTGTTCACTGGTGAGAGCAGAAGTACAGGAAGTTTTTTTAAAAATCAGGTTTAGTAAAATATAATTCACATACCATCAGATTCACTCATTTTAAGTGGAAAGTTTGATGAGATTGCCAGATTGTTTTTCTTTTTCCTTAATTATGTGCTGATTTGACTATACCTCCAACTTCCTACATTCCCACCACTAAAGTGTAGACCAAATTGATGTATCTTTTTCTGATACGTTGTATCCTTTCTCTTTTCTGCAGTGTGCTAAAGGAAGTATACCAAGCCTTTAATCCAAAAGCAGTGGTTTTACAGCTGGGAGCTGATACAATAGCCGGAGATCCCATGTGTTCCTTTAACATGACTCCAGTGGGGATTGGCAAGTGTCTGAAATATGTCCTTCAGTGGCAATTGGCAACACTCATTTTAGGAGGAGGTGAGTACAAAGGAAGGTCACCAGGAGAATTTGTTGACCTTCCTCTACAAATTGTCTGTTGGCACTAAATTGACCTTAGATTGGATAATACCAACTTGTCTATAGCCCAGAAACCTGAGTCAGTGAGCTCTGCCACCACCACAGTTCAGCCCTCCTCAGCTCGGCATGTGATTGACTCCCTGGCACTCTGAAGTCCATTTCATATCCTGCAGTAAAGGTCTTCGGCTAAAAGTTACCTCAGGGACTGAGGTTTAGCTCAGTAGTAGACCACTTGCCTACTTGCCTAGCGTGTTCAAGTCCCTGAGTTCCATCCCAACATTGCAAAAAGAAAAAAGAAAAAGAAAAATTACCTCAGATAATAAATGTAGAGAGTGTTGATTCCAATAGACCTGATCTATCTTCTTTCAGGCCAACAGAACTGATTCTCAGTTCTATAAGCATCTTAAGGAAACACAGCACTAAAATTCTAACTCTGCACATGTATCAATAGTAAATATATGAATTAATTGAATACCCAGGCTGAATTCAAGAATGACTCCCCAAAACGCATGACTTTGTTATAATGAAGCAACACTGAGAGATCCAAAGGTATTCTTACCTTTCACAGTTACTGATACTTGCATTATATAACTAACAGAAAGCTGAGGCATGTTTATATCTGAGAAAGGAAACTTTTGCAACCTCAACCACATTGGAAACTGCCTTACTTAGGTTCTTCTATATCCCTACCTAGTAAAATCTTTATTTCTTTGGATAAATGTGTATTAACATAACATGGTCAAGCAGATTGAGCCTAAAATGCACATATTATGGACAAACTAATAGTTTGTAGTTTTGTCAACCTATTGTAAAAACCAAATTAGAGGAAAGAAATCCTGGGGGAGGTCTTATGTAAATAAGTAATAATTCACCACAAATACACACATCTGGTCCTTTGGCAGCCTCAAATCCTAGAGGCATCAAAATTAAAAGTGCTTATAAGAGATAACTTTTTATGAAAAAATGGCAAGAAATATATTAACTTCAACTGAAAAAAGATAAAATTAATAAACACCATATAACATTATTTTCCTTGGTGGCACTAAGGATGGTGATGATGATACAATTTCAGCTAGGGGAAAGAAAGACTTTTCTATAATATATATCTATGAGAATTTAACTTTTGTCTGAGGCTACACCCTTTACTTAACAAGTCTGTTAGCATCCTCTAAAGCCCTTTGCTTTCTCAGCATAAAGTTTTGGCTTTTGAATATGTAAGTATAACTCTTCTTATGCAATATGTGTATTCCTGAAAAGCCTGTACATAAATGGAATTTTTGCAAATCAGATAATCCTACATGTATCCCAGGGACAGCTTACTAATTAAGCAAAGCCTATATATAGTACTCTTTGAGATTAACTAATGCCAAGTAAGTCTGTCTTATAAATTCAATTTTTTCATATCAAGGGTATTTAAAGTAGTAGCTATACAATTTAACTGAAATTCTCAGTTCTTATTAGCACATAGACAATTAGTAGAGACGGCCACACCCTCAAGTTTCAGTGGTCCCTATTGAAGCCTGAAAACACATTTCAGAAGCCCCAGAGCCCCTGATCTTTCAAATAGTAGAAAAACTTTTTAAAAAGTGACCTGTGTCCTACTTTACACACATTATCTTAGTGTAATGATTAATAGCATCCTCCTTTACTATTAAAAGTGTATCCTATAATTTAATCATCACTCTATCTAAAAAAGACTAGATTCTATCTCCTTTAGGCTGCATTGGGGTTAGGAAATCATTCCATTTTACCCTCATACTCTTGGAATTTAGCTAAAGCGCTAAGCTTGCCTGCAGAGCATATCTATTCAGCACAAAAATATGCTGATTATTAGCCAGTGTGATATAGCTGCTAGATGACTATAGCAAGACCTGATTAGATGGTTCATAGCATCAATCAGCAGGCTCTTCCTCATCGCACGCTCTTTGATCTCTACCACCAGGCCTGTGTTTTGTGGTGAAAAAGAATGCTGATATTAAAAGAAGGAAGTCTGTTTCTGTCAGTACTTTCCTTTTCTCTTTCCTGGATGCTTTTAGGGCTAGATCTGCCAATGACTAGCATATAAATCACATCCAACAGTCATTTTATAGAATTGTTGCAAAATCTATCATGGGAACATCACCTCCAGAGATCCTGATTCCAGGAATCTCAGTCTTGCTTATGTCTTTTGATGGAAATGAGAAGATTGGATTCCTAAGGAGCATTTGTTGGGAAATGGGAGCCTCTTTCATCTTCCTTGTCCTTGGAATTCCTAGTTCTATACTGTGGTCCCCCAAAGTCTGCCCTTTGGGTGGTTTGCAAATATCATAAAGGGATATTTTGGTGAAATTATGCAAGTTGGAGTTGTCTTTTAACCTTTTTATTAAAACATTTTTCTCTCCTTCCTCACCCCCTTTCCTTCTGCTGCTGTTTTGTGACTATTTTTTCCTAACTTCCCAATTCTTGATGGAGAAAGGAGGCTATAACCTTGCCAACACGGCTCGTTGCTGGACATACTTGACCGGGGTCATCCTAGGGAAAACACTATCCTCTGAGATCCCAGATCATGAGGTAAGTAAGGTTCTGACAAGTCCTCTCTTCTTTAATGGGAAGAGCTGAGTCATTCCACCTAATCAAAATCACGTCCTCACCACTCAATACTGTTTTGTTGAGAGACACTTCAACAACAGTAACATACTGTCTTGGCAGAATAGTGGACTCTTGTTCCAAAATACCCAAGACCTTCTGCCTTTTTTCTTTTACAAAAGATCTCAAAGGCCAACCAACTTTAATTTCTCAATTAATTACAGAGACTGTGGGAAGGGGTCACCTGTTCACACAAAGAATGCTTTGCAATATGTGCATATTTTCATCCCTTAGCCTCAGAAAGAAAGAGACTGGTTCTTATTTGTGTAAGCTAGGTTTTCAGCTTTTTTCAGAAATCTCATAGGTAGTATATAGCACATGTTCTCTGGTAATAGTACTGGTCTCTCAATTTTCTTTGACTAATGTAAAAATCAAGCAACATATGGTCACTAATAAAGTCAGATCTGGTTCCAGCAATTAGTATACATAGGGATTGGAGCAGGACCATCCAAAGTATGAAATGTGTCACTTGAATCCTTGCCATTTTCATTAGTCATATGAGACGAGCGTTGCAAAATAAAGGTGTCTGTTCTAATTTTCCTAAACCAAGGGAATGGAAAGCTGACTGGGACATGTGACTATGCTGATAATCTCTCGTCCAAAGGTGTACCACTTCTATTCCCATCTACCCCTAGCCCTGACAGGAATCATGTTATCACAGATCAGGATGCTGCCACAGATCTTAGACTATGTGACTTAAAATAACAGACTAGTCCATGCAGCCCCACCTTCTCAAGCTATTTCCCAGGGATGAGCAATGTTGCTGTGGTTATAATGTTATGATTTCTATCAGATGTAACAGCTGTTCACTTGGGAACATTATGTTTTTTAAAGTTACTATTATTTTTTAAAAATTAGAAACAACTTAAACCAATTTCCTCCCAATTTTCTTTTAACCTTAGATGAGATAAAACATGTATCTCAGAAAAGCCATTCAATATGTCTAGAATACAAATAGAAGGCACACTATAATTTGAGACAATTTGCTACTGTTAGGGTTAATAGAAGTCTCTTTTCTTGACTTAACTTACCTTTATTCAGTATTTGGAAACTTAATGAAATATAAAGGTAAGTGCTGTGAATAAATGTAATTGCTGTTATTGCTGTGGGAATATCTCAGACTGAATTGTAATTTAAAGCACTGGGACTTTAAAAACTGATCAAGTTATGTCAGAAAGGAGTTTTAAGTCCCAGAAGTCTGAATTGAAAGTGAGTGTTCTGTTCTTGGGCAGCAAAAGATTCATCTCTGTTAAAAGATTGATACAATTTTAATAAACATGAATATTACCTCTGGTACCTGGAAAAGCTATGTGCCTGAACAGATGTGAGCTGGCCTTATAGACAGAGATATTCTGTCTTTATACAGACTTATTCTGCAAGACTAGATGAAATGTAATGTGTACCAAGTGCCTGACACACACTTCCTGGCACGTAATAGACATTTTAGAAAGGCAAGTTCTCTTTTCCCTTTGCATGCTCCTCACTTCTCATACCCAGACACTTATGACTATGTCATTCATAAGTTTGTCCAAACCCTTTGTGAATCCCTTCTGTCATATCCTTCTGGTATAAGATATGAGTCATCCAAGAATGAACAAAGAAGAAAATTGAAATGACAGTCTTCCAGGTATAATAAGATAACATTTTAATGAAAATTGCCAAAAATAGACTGCGTGTTATAAAGGCATATATAAGTTTTGTGTCACAATACACAGTTGCACACAAATATCCTTGTATTCATCTGTAATCAGATTTTTTAAAAGGCATATCAAAAAATGTTTGCTGCATACCCATTGTGTGCCAGAAACTGCACTAAACGTCTTGGAAGATGCAAAGATCGCAAAACGCTGTCCCCTACCTCAAGCATCTGGGGAGGGAGGCTTATGCCCACATAGTTCTAATACAGAGCAAGATCAGAACTATAAAACAGTAGGAACCGTAACTATGGAGATGTACATCTAATATAAAGGGAATGCAAAGGAGTACACAAAGTACTTAGCCCTCCAGGAACTGGGACTGTACTTGAGAAATCTGGCAAATGGCAAGGTCAGTGGGCTGCAAACTGGCTGACTTCCTTACCGTCTCTATTCTCAGTCTTGGGTGTTTGTTCCTCCATCTTATAGAATAATAATCTACCTCCTCCAATGCCCTACTGGCTTCCAAGATCCAGTTTAAAGGCTTCTGCCTTTCAAAAACTGTGACCTATATCTACCACACCCCTTTGAGCTCTTCCTTCACATTCAGATATTCCTTCATTCATTTAACAAATACGTATTGGGCCCCTACCTCTTGACATTCCTTATCCAGATTCAGAAATACAAAGACTACTGGGATAAACCCAGTGCCCTCAAAAATCTCACCATCTAATAAAAGCAACAGAGCAATGTGCTCAAATCCAGGGCAGATTAGGAAAATAGGGCAAGTATTTTGACAAAAGTTTGAACTGAAGCTGGAAATTGGGAGTCTTCTAGGCAAAGAAAGGGGCAAAGGCATTCTAGAGAGTGGAAATAGTGATTGGAAAGGACCAGTGTGAAGTGTGCTATGTGTAGAACATAAGGTACATGAGAGACAGTAGGAAAGATTAAGACCTGAATGGAAATTGAGGCCAAATTATGAAGAGCCTTGAATGCTGCCCTGAGTTTATGTTTTTTTCCTATGAAAACAGATGAACTTTGGTTTTTAGAAAGCTCATTTGGTAGAAAGTAGAAGATGGTTTGCAAAGGGGAGAGACTTGAAAAGGCAGAGCTGGTAAGAGGTTCAAATATAAGCCCATAATATAGTCTTTGGATGTTGGATAACCCTTATTCAAAATGCCTGGGATCAGAAGTATTACAGATTTTGGATTTTTTCTCAATACTTTGAAATAATTGTCTCTATATAAGAAATCTTGACGCAACTTGGGCCTAAATATCAAATTTATTTATATATCATATACACCTTATCTCCACATAGGCTGAAGATAATTTTACAGAATATTTTAAATAATTTTGTGCATAAAACAAGTGAGGTATGGAATTGTCCACTTGTGTCAGGTCAGCACTATAAATTTTCAGATTTGGAAGCATTTTGGACTTCAGATTTTCATATTAGAGCTGTTTACCCTGTACCATTCTTTTGATCATCCACTGTTTGGTTGTCCGCATATTCCTTCTTTGTGTGTAGCAGAAAGTTAAGCACCCACATAGCTGGTGTTCTTTCATTGAATGACCAACTAAATAAATGAGTGTTTGAATAGTATGTATAAACATTCACACTGAGATGGAAGAATTGGAAGCATAGTCCAGGCTTTCTCTGGGAACACAATTTAACCCTAGTAAACAGCAACTTCCTATCCTTTGAATTAGTTCTGGCTATAGGAAACAGGTACATCTATAGGAAAACAGTAGATTCCCATTCAGGGAAAGGGGCTGAGAAGGTAAGTCCAACACAAATGTTAGAAATAAGTAGGAGTTTGAGCCAGGCATGGTGACGCATGCTTGTAATCCCAGCACTAGAGAGTCTGAGGCAGGAGGATCACCTGAATTCGAGGCTAGCCTGGGCTACATAGTGAGTTCAAGGCCAGCCTGAACTACATAGTGAGAGCCTGTCTCAAAAAAAAAAAAATAAATAGGAGTGGGACTTCAAGCATAGCCCTCATGAGATACAAAACCGGTGATACCATAAAAGCCAGTGATGCCAAGGCCAGGAATTTGGCTCAGTAGCACTGTGCCTGCCTGGTAAGCACAAGGTCCTGAGTTCGATCCCCGGCACCAAAAAAAAAAAGCCAGTGATGCCATAAAAACAAGTGATCAGCCCAGTAACTGGGAATCCAAATTGGCCAGCCAGACATGGAACAGAGAGACAATTTCAGCTAGAGGAAGAGCTTTGAACCCAGCTGGGAAAGCTTGAGAAGTCTCTACCATAGGGAGAGCCCAAACATGAACCCATAAAAAGGCCAATATATGTCTAATTAGCACAATCACCTGGCCTGTTCAGTGTAAGAATGTTCAGTGTATTTCTAATCCAAAAATCCAAAATCCAGAACTCTCTGAAATCTGAAATTCTTGGAGGACTACATAATACTTATTTTCATCAGGTAGCTTTACTAACAAAAAATGCTTATTCTACTTAACCAGACTGCTTTTGATGGACTGATTGGACAAACTAGACCTCCTTCACATTAGGAAATATACGTAGCCATTAAAATTAAGTCAGTGTATATACAAAGTATCTGTAAGTAGAAATCTTGCAGTGAAATCTATATAAATTTTTTTGGGAGGAATAAAATCTTAACAATATTTAATCTTCCAATCCATGAATTTACTATATCTTTCCATTTACTTAATTTCAAATTTTAACTTAAACTTCAGTAAACAGATCTTGTACAGGTTTTGTTAAATTTATCCCTAAGTATTTCATGATTTTGATTTTTTGTACATAATATTTCTTAAAACAATTTGTTACCAGAATATAGAAATATAATTGATTTTATATTGACCTTGAATAATGTAACCTACATAGTTAAACTCAGTAATTCTACTAACTTTGTCATTTTTTTTTTGTACCGGGACTTGAACTCAGGACTTTACGCTTGCAAGGCAGGTGACAGCACCACTGAGCTAAATCCCCAGCCCCTCTACTAACTTTCTTTGCAGATTACTTAGCGTGTTCCATGCACACAAATATGTCCTATATGGATAAAGAGAGTTTTAATTCTTCCTGTATAATCTTCATGCCTTTTATTTCTTTTTCTTACCTTATTGCACTGATTATGACCACTGGCTGGGACCACCAGTGCAATGCTGAGACCCACCCCCCCACCGTGAATCAGACTCAGGACCTTGCGATTGCTTGCAAGGCAAAGTGCAGTGCCACTGAGCTAAATCCCTGGCCCTGAGTTTTGTTTTGTTTTGTTTAAATATCCTTTTGTTAGGTAGAGAAAATTC